TTTAATATAATAAAACTCATAAAATTAAAATTAATAATTCATCAATACAAATACTTCTAAAGAATAGACATGGGTTTTGTATGCTTCAGTATGCTTCTTTTAAAAAAAAGTTGCAGTAATGCTCCTTAACCCCAAAAAGCAATAGTTTTCATCCTGTAAAATAGGAATAATGATAGCATCCTTTTGAGGCCATTATGTGGCTGCAGCTTGTAAAAAGCAAAAAGTCCTTCCTGTTCCTCAGGTATTTAAGTCCATCTTGAACCTTGGAATATGACTGCTATGTGTTGAATTCTGTATTCCTAAAAATTATATTTAAAAATGTTAACCTCTGTTACAGAATGTGACCTTTTTCAAAACAGGGTAGTTACAGATGTAATTAGTCAAGATGAGGTCAGTAGCTTGGTTTCTAATCCAGTAGAATAAATTTCTTTATCAAAAAGGGGAAATTTAAAAATACCTGCCGAGAAAACACCATGCGAAAAGATGTAGGGAAAAGATGGCCATCTACAAATCAAACAGGGAGTCCTAGCACCAATTTTCCCCACACAGGCCTCATAAATAAATTAAATCAGACACAAGTTAGTTATGGCAGCCCTGGGCAGGAAGTGTCAAGTAACTAACCTGTCTATTTATAAATGGCTATGTGATAATCAACCCAGCCCAGAATGACCAACACCACATGAATCTAAAAAGTGGAATTTAAAAAGCTGCTTTCAAAGAAGTTGAAAGTAGAACGGTGGTTACCAGCTAAGGGGGAGAATGGGCAGGGTATGGGAAAAGACTGACCAATGAGAACTGAGTTACAATTAAGACCAAGAAGTTCTACTGAGCTATTACACTATAGTGCTACAGCTAACAATCATCTACCATATGCCAAGCAAAAAGCTATGTGAAAGGAATCTGAATATTTTCACCATTAAGAAATGGAGAACATTTGAGGATACAGATATATTGAATGTGACTTAAACATTACACAATGATATATGCATCAAATCATCACTTGTTACCCCATTAATAGGTACAATATTTATGTTTTTATATATCAGTTAAAAATAAATTTGATTTAAATAAAGATTCATATTAGAAATCATGCTTCCACATCTAGTCCAGAGTTTAAGATTATCAAATCTAGAATGAGTTTGTGTGGTGTTATTAGAAAATTTATGTGTGGCGTGCTTTTTGACAATGGCCTAACCTACTTTAGTATGTACAGTCATGGTGTGTG